GGAAGTAAGTTAGTGTTATTATTATTATTATTATTATTATTATTATTATTATTATTATTATTATTATTATTATTATTATTATTATTATTACTAGTATTATTGTTATAATAATAATAATAGTAATAATAATAATAATAATAATAATAATAACACTATTATTATTATTATTAGTAGTAGTAGTAGTAGTAGTAGTAGAAGTAGTAGTAGTAGTAGTAGTAGTAGTAGTAGTAGTAGTAGTAGTAGTAGTAATAGTAGTAGTAATAGCAGCAGTAGTAGTGTCTATGATTATGTAATATGTCTGATACCGTCTTGCTATTAATGAAATATTGGTTTTGGCAATATACGAACAAAGATTGCCATCAATATTGACTCCATCACCATTCTAGAAATGACGCGCTCACCTCGCTTACTTTAAATGTTTTGGCATTTTAAAATGATTAGAATATTTCGATAGCGCCTGGAATTACCCTTTCCATTTTCACGTCGTCACATCTAAATTGTGTTGCTGTCCAATAACAGGGGGCATCACTTTAGATAAATAGTTATTGCTTGATGCTCTCCGTTCGCGTTAGCACGCGAAAGTTTACAGTTTTAGGGAATGTAGTCATCGCGCTCTATACATTTCCAATCGTGAGCTGTTCTCGCAATGATAAGTCATGTGATGACATGCGCAAGTCTGTAGACTTAGTCACTACGCACGGATTCGTACATGATGTGTGTTTATATTTGTTATTACAATCACAACATAAGTTTCGCGCTGGCCGTTTTATGAGGGAATGAGGCCACGTGCTTTCTGTATTCCGTCAAGTAGGCAGCCAGGCGGGCGTGCAAGCGGCCGGACGTGCGGGGAAGCATGCAGGCGAGCGATTATAAACCAGCAGCAGCGGCAGCATCTTTTCCCGGAAGGAGATCGGCCGTTTGACTGCGTTAACCCGATACAAATGTGTCGGCAGGGGATGACATTCACATGCAATGAGCTCGCAAGCATAACGCGCGAACATCGCAACGGTTCGTGATTCCTAACCTAGGTCGAAGAAGTTGCAGGACAAGAAGTGGAGAGTTTCGCGGGGGGGAAGAGGAGGAGTGAAAGTGGCGACACGGGCGGGAATGGAAGTGGAGTAAGAGGAGCGAGAAAAAATATGTCTTAAATCGGTGTTGTCGATTGTAGCCGAGTTATTAGCTGGCGACTTTCATTGCGAATTTATCTAGAGCTCGTTCATTTTTCGCGCCGTTATTCGAGCCGACTTCTTGTGCTGGATTTGATTTATTTGGGTCACATCGGCACGTGGCTTCAACCACGTAGGGATTACGGACAGAGCCTCTCTTCCTTCCGTTGTCCGCGCAAAAACTTCGCAACTCGGTTCAGGCGCGGCCCTGCCTTGCATCAGACGTCTCTCGCGCTGGCAGGTGGTTCTAATAGCAACCGCTGCGCGAAATAACCACTTGCGTGCGCGTGAAAGTCGGCGCAGATAATTAGAGCTATGATGGCTGCAGGTCGACCGGGAGGGCTCCCCCGAGCTAACGCGCGGTCCGCACGTTGTCTACCAGCCCTGTGCGAGCATTACTCTACCAGCCCTGTGCTAGCATCACTCTACCAGCCCTGTGCTAGCATCACTCTACCAGCCCTGTGCTAGCATCACTCTACCAGCCCTGTGCTAGCATCACTCTACCAGCCCTGTGAGAGCATCAGTTTACCAGTCTTGTGTGAGTATCAGTCTACCATCCCTGTGTGAGCATCAGTCTACCATCCCTATGCGAGCATCAGTCTACCAGCCTTGTTTGAGCATCAGTCTACCATCCCTGTGCTAGCATCAGTCTACCGACGCGCAGCGGCAGAGCAACTATGCTCAACTAGACTAGTTGCCGCGTCGACGTGACGCGTCAGCAGCGCACCGATAAACAAATTGTCGTCATCGCTTCGCGCGTCCTATAGCTCTCCGCAGCATTATCAATAAAGCTGGGCGGAGATAGTCACACTCGCTCAGCGCTATAAGCACCCGCCGCGCCACGCGCGCTACATGCAAACCCCGGAGACGAACGCACGTGCGCATTTAGAATCGGGCGGTCTGCGCGTGATACAACGGTACGACGCGCGAGCGTTTACGGCACGAACGCCGACGATGTGTCGGCACTGACTTAACAAGAGCTACGACTGGTAAAACGACGGGCGAAATGACAACGCATGGACCTGTGCTTCTGCGAGTGATCGTCAGACTACTATGGCTGCTGTGGACGGCGGAGCTACTGCGGGCCGAAAACTTTACGATAGGCTATATCACCGGGAGCGCCCGCAGGCCCGGCAACAACGAGTACAACCGGCCCGGGCTGGCCATCAGCGGAGCAATCACGCTCGCTGTCAACGAGATCAACGCGAATCCCGATCTGTTGCCCAACGACTATTTGAACTTTGCGGTGGCCGAAACGTACGGCGAATCCGCCGAGAGCCTGAAACAAACTGCGCTGTTTTGGCAAAGCAATGCGGCAGTTATTATTGGTCCGCAAGAGACGTGCGTTTGCGAGGCAACTCTAGCCGGATCGTTTGGAATTCCAATGGTGTCATACGTAAGTATAAATGTTAATAATTATGCAATAGTCCGTCATACTTTGGTGCACATAGGGCGTGCGTGTGCGGGGATGTGTGCGCGAACATCTATTTGTCGGGGCGTATGTGCCGGCATGTCAATTTGTATATGTATCTGTATCTACATCAAATTCCCTCTTCCTCGTTTGTCTTATTTTAAGTATTACAAATCTTAAATAGCATTATTTCATGTATCTTTTAAGTATACTATTATACTACCACATCTACTATAGCAGTGTGGAAAACAGCAATGAAACAATACTGGCAAATTATTCAGTTTTAAATTCACTTCGGTTTATTGATTTATTCATTCATCCATGCATCCATGCGTCCTTGCATCAACCCTTTCATCAATTCACTCTTCTCATTCTCCCTTTCATTTATTCATTCATTCATTCATTCATTTATCCATCCATCCATCCATCAATTCATTCATTTATTTGTTCGTTCTTTCGTTCGTTCGTTCGTTTGTTCGTTCGTTCGTTCGTTCGTTCGTTCGTTCGGTCATCCCTTCTTTCCTGCTTTCGTTCTTTCACTCATTTATTCGTTCATCCATTGATTAATTTATTCGCCCATCCATCCATCAATATATGCATGTATGTATCCAGTCATCCATTGATTCATCCATCGATCCATGCATCTATCCATCCATCCATCCATCCATCCATCCATCCATCCATCCATCCATCCATCCATCCATCCATCCATCCATCCATCCATCCATCCATCCAGCCAGCCATTCATTCATCCATCCATCTATCCATCCACCCATCCATCCATTCATTCATCCATCCATCTATCTATCCACCCATCCATCCATCCATCCGTCCATCCATCCATCCATCTATCCACCCACCCATCCATCCATCCATCCATCCCATCCATCAATCCATCAACACACGCAGAATTTATCTACGCAAAATTATGTATGCTAGCATCGTGCCACTAACTACTCTCTTCATATGCACTGCAACATGATTACTCATATACAACCATTTACAACAAGATCATTTGTCGATTTATTTATTCATTCATTCATTTACTTATTTACTTATTTATTTATTTATCTATTTATTTATTTAGTTAGTTAGTTAGTTATTTTCCTGACCCGAGAGTAATGAACAAATGTGTTTAATTTAATACATTTATTAACCTAATCTAGCTCCATGTAATCAGAACGTGTTTTGTGTGTGACGTGCTATTTTGGTTACGCATCCCTCGTGTGTGAGAATATTACTCCTCATTTCATTTTGTGTAAAAGTGCTTGTTTAAGCATTGTATGGTAAGGATCCGGTACAATAGGTATGATGAGACAAGCCAATTTAACCTCGAATGTTGCCGCGTGTCTTAATTATTAAATGACAATAGCTATAACGATTATAAATTTATGTCAATAATAAGCAATAATTATATAGGTTAATAATTAATTATTAATTAACAATTGCAACAAAGGGCAAAGTTTTGATTGCACATACATCAGATTATAACGGGTTCATTTTCTAATGTTACCGGATTCCATAAATGCGTCAACGGAAGAGAGTCTCATTTAGGTAAGATCAGGAGTTAATAATGACAAATTTGTCATAATTTGTCATTATTAACTTCTGGTAAGATGGTAACTTCTGGTAACTTCTGGTAACTTCTGGTAACTTCTGGTAACATGGACCTGGTATGCTGCAGTGACTATAGGTATATTGATTGTAACAGTATATAACAGTAACAGTGACAGTGGCAATGACAGTGACCGTGGCAGTGACAGTGGCAGTGACTATGACAATGACAGTGACAGTAACAATAACAGTAACATAAGCAGTAACAGTAACGGTAACGGGAACGGGAAAGGGAACGGTAACGGTAACGGTAACGGTAACGGTAACGGTAACCGTAACTGTAACGGTAACGGTAACTGTAACTGTAACGGTAACGGTAACTGTAACAGCATCATCAATAGCAGCATCAGCAATAACAGAAATAGCAGTAGCAATAACATGTTTATTGTTCACAAACTACGCTTATCACTGCGGAATGACGCAATTCGTCGTCTTGTCTTAAAGTGATAGTAAAATGAATTAAGTGTGATTTTAAACTCGTAGAAACATCAGCTCGATCGTTTATCCTGCGCACGTACCAATGCAACATAAAACGTGAAATACCACCCACGAGAGGTATACATTGCCCAGCCCCTGGCCACGTGCCGGTATGTCTTTCTACGTACGTGACTGAGCCCACGCCTTGCCAATGACTTTTATCAATGGCAAGCGACCGATGCAGCGAGTATAAACATACTGAAAGAGCAAACATCTTCCGCGCGGGCTTAGATCAATACGACTTTGTAAAAGGTTCAACACTATCATGGCTTTAGATGCCGGAATAGGGGAATCGCTTAGATTCCTGCGGTAATTGTTGGGACAAATACTTGCGCCTAAGAATGTAAACTGGGAGAGAGAGCGAAAATAAACAAAGAGCACTTAATATAAGCACTCGGCTTACTGATGGCTAAATACAGCCACTGTGAGCTGTGAAAGTGTTTTAGCTTCACAATTCGTGCACATTATGTGAACTAGATAAGTAACGTTTATAGCACAACGGAAAGAGCCCCCTTTATCACCCGCCTGACGTTCCCATCTCAGAACGGTTACCATAGACTATTTACATTCTTTGCATTTCTGCTTCACTTGGAATGATTCCTTGCTCAATCCACGTTGCTTATACAGCCAAGGGTCTCTTCAAACCACTGTAATATATATCTCTAAACAGCGAGTGGGGCCTCTGCACGTGTTCGGTCGGGCACAACATTCGAAATTGGAAAGAAGCCACGAAATATACGGTATCGCCGGAAACCAGAGCGCAAACAACCCACGCGGCATATTGGAAATTTGGAGGTTTGTGTCTCGTGTTGAACCAAGGTTGACGGTTCATAGCCGATTATTTCCTATATTAACGACATACGCTATTAACCTTTGATCTGGGCTCATGCAGTAAGCAGTTGTTTTGCCACCCTGTGTCGATATTATACGTTGGCTATTGCAAAGACAGATTGAAGATTTGGAAATAAGTTAATAATTTAGTTTGTACAGAAATGTGGATTGTCGGATGGACCCTGTTTAGTTAATCTAGTTAACTAATATTGTGAAAGCAAACGTAGTTTCCATGCGTTTACTCTTTTTTCTAATTACAGACCATACAGTTGTATATTGCAATAAATATGTTTTCGAAAGAATACTATGCATTCACGCATTGCGTATGTAATCTTGATAGGCGAATGAGGTATAAGTAGAACCACTTCGGTTCAAAGTAAAAGCGTCTACGTAGACGAGTACGTTGTTGTACCAAAGCAATATAGGCCATGTCAAGTTTAAAATGAACAGAATGTGAGCATCTTACGCGTAGCCCAATTTTCTAGCAGAGTATGGATATTTTCAAGCTTAGCGACTAATTTAACGACCACGGGCAGAGGAATCAGTCCGGGAAATATATATATATATATATATATATATATATATATATAGAGAGAGAGAGAGAGAGGAGGAGAGAGAGAGAGAGAGAGAGAGAGAGAGAGAGAGAGGGAAAGTAAGAGAGAGATGAATAAACTGGATGTTTTTAGGACTCTTGTCTCTATCCTCTCTTGATTGATTCCTCTGCTTTATGTTCGCTAAATTAGTCGGTAAGCTTGAAAATATCTGCGATTTGCATGACTGCGATTTTAGATATGAACTCCCTGCCGTGTGTCGTGCGGACGTATGAACGTCTGTCGCGAAGCAAAGAACGTGCTTTACTGCTAAGCAGTTTCCGGCTCTACAATAAATCAGTAGTTATAGAATTCACTATCACCTTATTTGCCGGCTGTAATATTCCGAGTCCATATAATCAGGAGTGAATAATAATAGAATCTATTATTATTCACCCTGATATAATATTCCTATAGTATAAATATAATACCCAGTACAGTCATCGCCGTTATGTGTTTCAGTACTGTCCGGAAACAGTGGTATCAAACAAGTACCAATACCCAACGTTCGCCCGCACGCGACCACCGGACTATCAGATCTCAAAGTCACTCGCAGCGCTGCTGAAATACTTCAACTGGACGACTGTAGCCGTGCTCAGCAGTGACGCGTCCGATTTTAGCAACGTCGCTACTACTATCATCAAGATTCTGAAGGCGTCTGGCATTGACGTGGCGACACACAGGACCTGGCAAGGAACGTATTACCACGATTTCACCGAAAACCCCTTCGTTAAGCTGGTCGAAGAGACTTTAATGGACGCAAGAAGTAAGTGCTCGAGAGTTTAGTGTGGTTTATGATCGCCCTACCTTCCTGGCTGGTACGGTGATTCGCTTAATCACGATACAATGTTTAAACGCTGAATGGAAGCTGTAGTTAAAATCACTACATGTAAGCTTGCGATGTCATGCAATTCCTTCCTATTATGCAACGCTCCCATCTATGCGATGCTAATAATTATGTCATGTATATAATGCAACCATGTCGATCCACAGAGTGATATAATGTATAAATGAAACAATAATATCTAGCGTAACGTTTTGCATAATCGCCCCTACAATTTCATGTAACGCTACTATATCGTGCTGTGCCGCCATATCGCATAATCTCATCTAAATCTCATTAACACGACTCGCAATATCGCATATCGTTTACACGTCTACATTATATCTCTCTAACTCAGTATGCTCTAATCTCACTAACGTATGCCATAGAATAATTGCATTTACGGCATTATACGTTCTTTGTAACGCTTCTGTGCGCCATGATAGAGAAAAATCACACGCAACGTTCCTTCATATTAAATAACCTTCGTAGCGGTGGAGCGTAAAACACCTACTTCGGCACCTACTTTACACCGAAATAAATCGGACAAAAATAACTATGAAGGTCTTGAAGAAACTAATCCAACGGTCGTTCCCTATTGTCTGACACACGCGGGTCGTTGAGTTAACAGTATTAAATACTTAAAAGCGAAATAGAATGGCTTTAACCCTATACCTCATCGTCAAACGTAGACATATTTACACACGCGTCTACGAACTCTTCGTGACATGTGCGGTAAATTATACCCCTATTTGCAGTAGTAAGTAGTCTATACCATACACGGCTTGTTTAGGTTAGCATTAATTGGCTCGTAGATGCCGTTTTACCAATGGTCACTAAATCAAATGAATCGTTCACTGACCTTTCGTATGGTCTGAGTACTGACGGCAGCTTTTATGTGTGACCCGGGTGCGCAGCGTATGTGCCCATTCGCACCATGTGTTGTCCAGGGTGTCCATGTGTTTCGTTGATTTTATAACGAGTATGTAAATTAATACTTAACTGACGAAAGATCGGACATACTACTTTATAATATGATTCACTCTAACAGCAGCGGTATAAAGCCGTTACTTTTTGAAGTTATATTATGTTATACGGAATGTACTTTCCACTTTTAGCGTAGCATCCGCAAATAAGGGGAATGATTTTGACGTTGGTCTAGGCGTATTATGAATATGTAAGTTTGCAGCGGCATACATTTGGACATTTTTTGCAGCAAATATCGTATTTAGCTTTCAGCAAACTATCATAATCTTATTAATCTTATGTTATCTTCTCTATTCATGGAGCACAATATCGTACTAGGAGATTAAATTGAATGCTGCAATTGGGTTTATTTCATGGTGCAGGTTATGAAATTACGATATATGCGCGTAAGAAAATTCACGAACTTTCTTGAGCTGCTAATGGGTATTTAAATGCGACGGCTTCAAACGAGCACCTCATTGCTAAACTAATCGCTTTATCAACCAGGACACATCTGTTTCATATCAGCGTTTTTGAGGCGAGAAGGCAAGGCAGTTGTCGCAAAAGTGCAATGAAGCTACTTATTCCATTTGACAGCGCGCAAGATCAGTCTTTGCCGCCTACGTAATTATAGACTCAATTTCTAGGCGAGGCAGTTGTTCGTGGCCGTTGTAAAAACACAGAGAACCGTAAATGTCATAGTAACTTAATTATAGAATCAGAAGCGTGCTTTCTTAAATGGACTTTTTTAGTGTATGCCGAAGGAAGGTAATTTTAACATGCTGCCCTATTCTTACGTTTCCCACACGATAAGCAATAAGCAATTTTTTTATGTCGATGCGAAAATATTCGCGGCTATAATACAGACGGATTTCTCATCTTGTTTAACAAGGTTCTTACTGTTGTTTTTAAATTGTTTGACATGTGCAATACTCACAGAGTATAGTAACCTTGCCGAACAGCTGCATATTACGCATGCACTTTAAGATGTGTCTTAAAACGTGAGAAATGTCTACCGGCACCCTATCTATGGTAGAAGTCACCGCTGTAAGCTGCGTACGTGATCGATCTCAGCTAGTCGAATGAAGTGATCCATAGCATCGGTTTGAAATGCCAGTTTAGTTGTACGGGCGTATAGATAAAATAAATAATAGCGCTTGGATTTACAACATAGCTCGCGGATTACAGAAACAATTTTAATTACCGATATTAGGGCATCCTTAACCCTGCTCCGAAATACATTATTATGTTTACACGCACATATACGAGCATAACACACGCGCGCGATGTCCCGGATGTTACACCATGGTTCTAATTGCTAGTAATAGTAATCGTTGCTGCGACCGCGGCACTGGTACTGGTGGTACGCCGTAGCTAGGACTGATGCCTTCATATATATTGATATTTCAGTATATGTTGTCATCGGGAAGCAGACAGAGTACATAGGATTGATGACATACATGGAGGAGAGACAACTCCTCAACGGCGACTATTTTGTCGTTGGGGTTCATTTTGATCAGTACAACCCTGAAGATCCAGAGGAATACATAAAGGGTAGGATCGCTGTTCTTCGCAACTCAACGTCTCTAAATAACATTTTATTTTGTACAAAAACATAAAGGTATAAAGCCTATACATATTTTAAAAAAAACATCCGACTCTTTATTTGATAAAATATACAATAAACACGCGCACGCACGCACACACGCACGCACGCACGCACGCACGCTCACACACACACACACACACACACACACACACACACACACACACACACACACACACACACACACACACTCACACACACAAGCACACACACACGCATTATATATAATCTTATTTTACATTGCATAGGTAATGCTTATACTAAAGATGTCTTCCCCTTTCACTACTGTAACCAATTTGTAACAAATCCCACAACCCCCAGAGTAAACCCCACGCAAAAACTAAATTGAATTATAACCTTGAAGCATTAGGAACTGTAAAACGTGGATAGCAAGCCTGATGAAAATCTCGAATTCAAAATAGCTTTTGTCGCCGGTTACAAAATGTCGTTTAAAACATGTTTTTCAAAAGTTATATTCTCTAGGCAAAAGCTTGGATTAAACTTAATCCAGAGCAAGGTATGGCTGCTTGTCATTTATGTATAAACGCACAATCGCGAAGTTCTTTTGTTCAGTTCGTGCTGTGGTGTTCGTCTCTGCATTTTCTTTATCGTAAAGCGACATGTCGCCTCCGGTGTGTGCTGGATGTTTTCACTCTTCCGTCGTAGGTGTGCTACAGACGCACGTTGACACGCGCAGTCGCAGAGCCTTTCAGTCTTACATCGGGATCATCAGCTCCGCGCCCGTGTACCCGGCGTTCCAGCACTTCTCGGCGAAGGTAGACAGTTACCTGGAGTCGCCACCGTTCAGCCACCCCAACCCGTTTAAGACGAAGGGACTGGATGTCCCTCGAAAGGTACGCACGCGCTCGTCTGGCGTGAAAACTACAAGCTAACCTGCGTTATTAGTATACGAATGTGATTATCTCATCAAATGAGCATCAGCGTAAATTAGAAGACACACACATCGTGCGTTAATACTTATTACACGGCATCCATATGTGCAGTGTAATTGTGAAGCATGAGACCTATACTCAATAAACGATAAGGTACCCTATTTACTGTTACGGGCAGATGACAGGTAAAATACACACAATTTCTCATGGTATTATGATATCGCAAATATTGCATAAACTGCCAACATTGTTGTCACGTCAGTGTAAAAATATAATATGGTTTATATGACTTCATGATCTCATTAGATCAACCAGGGGGCGGCACACCTTTACGACGCAGTCTACCTATATGCTCGGGCTGTGCATCAGGCAGAAGCCAACCACGATGATCCACTCAATGGTCACGTTTTGATCAATTACATGAAAGAGCAGACGTATCTGAGTAAGTGAAACGCAAGATTACGAATGGCGCTGACTCAACGCGTCGCAAACTCGTGAACAGCGTAGTCTATAACACAAATATCAAATAAACGTTATATGTAACAGTTATTTACGCACACACCAGATGCAATACATCCTCTCGCTGGGGTTTATTCTCTCATTTACCATCATTAGCCATCATGGCCATCATTAGCCATCATTAGTTACATTGGCCATCATTAACTTCAAACTCCTACTTTCTTCATATTCACATCTCACGCGATGCATCCAATAAAAGCTTAGAATGCCCCGAAAGCACGTAGCTTCTGTTTCATCTCAACGCAATTCGTTTCTCTCGCCCTCTAAATCGACCGGCGTAGGTGCGATGGGATACATGACGTCGACGGACGAGAATGCTGACGCGAAAGGCAACTACACGCTAATTGCGTTCAGTCGGCTTCCGGGAGCGGAAGCGCGATACGGCCTGACGCCCGTGGGCACGTTCGAGCATATGGAGCCAGGCGAGGGTGAAACAATCGGCCTTCCGGTAAGATATGTATGTATTATTCGATCTAACACACGCTTTGCAGTAAACTCGCTCTTGTACTAATTGTGACTGCACGTATGTACGTGGGCGTGTGCGCGTGCGGGCGTGCGTGCGTGCGTGAGTGTGTGCACGCGCGCGTTTGTTCATTTCACATTGCGTTGCATGTCGTATTCCCTTACATCGCGACGGCGATGTATCATGGTAAATTAATTTGAAATTATCATGTATGCGTGTGGCGTGCGCGTGCGCGCGCACATTTGTGTGCTGACTGCGTGCGACTCTACCTTCTGCCGTTCGGTGTCATAAATATGTTTTACCATATATCAAACAAGTCATAACTGTAACTATATGTACGTTTGCAAATCAAGCATTATATTGGTGGGTAATAGACGGACGTGTACACCCGATTTGTTCCTATTCTCAAAACGCATGCATGTTAAATCAATAAAGTAGCTATCTGTGTTGCGCATGAATTAGATACAGCATTGTAAATATAATATATAATATCAACTATATATTATAAGTGTGAATAAATTTATCATAACCGCGTAAACGCGCAACATTGGATGACGTCACGCGTGACGCATCGCTGCAGCTTGTCCGCTGACGACGCTCATGTTTGTCGCTGCAGCGTCTAAGAATTTACGACCGCATCCCGTGGCGCGGTAGGGGGCCGCCAGCCGCCGTGCCAGCGTGCGGCTTCCGTGGCGTGAGCTGTCCGAACAACAACATCGTGGGTCAGATCTCTGTGTGAGAGAAGAAGAAGCTGCAGACGAAGAACGTTAACCCTAGCAGCCGCTGGGAGACGCCGCGGCAGCAGCTGTTCATCGCGGCGAAATCCCACTATATTGATAACGCGAACTTATAACGATAGCGACAACGTCACGTTACCATGATTATTGTGAGACATAATTTAAGGTAAGTTGTGAAGATGTAGAACGCGCTTTGGGAAAGTGTTTACCTATAGATGTAAATATGAGAGGCAGTGTAGACTTCTTGGATCCGTATAGCTAAACATGATTATTTTATTGTCGTATAAATTATGGAAGAACAGTACCGCCAGTCGATGCTATAGTTAAGGTTATCGTTATGATTAAAAACATGTGAGAACATTTTACGCTATACGTGGGTATGGAGTTCTGACTGTTCTGATAGCCCGGTGGTATTAACTATTGAGTTTAAATCGCCATTATTAATCCTATAGTTGTTTCCAACATGCAGAAACTGGCCTTATGCTAATGTAATTCATGTCCGTGTAAAAATTAGAGCTATGTACTTGTTATTTGTAAGGGCTTAATCCTGATAGTATCTTATGCATTTGATTATTATTGCGCACTACTCATTGCACTGTACGCTTGAAAATAAAATCGGTGAGATCCAGGTACGCACGTAGCAGTGAATATTGATTGACACCAGCGCAATCACGTAGTGACACCTTTAATTTCTCTATCGCTGTTGAAATGCCTACAGAAATTAAGTTATACGATTTGTCAATTGATTGCACCAGCTATCATTTAACGGGAAATGACCCGTAGGGACGTAGAGTGCAATTTGCACATTGTGCGAATATTGTCAAGATAAACGATATATACATTTTGGGAGTAAAGACGGTTTGAAAGGCGGAACAGGTGGAATAGGCGCCTGAAATGTGACGCGCGCTGATGAAATGGGGGCATGTTTATTGCGCTTGACAATGTCGACGTTATTTTCTATCGTATTTGAGTTACATGATAAATTCTAACAGCATTCTAAAGCGATTTTACCAAAAACGAAATTAAAATGTAACGAAATTACAATTCGAAGGCGCTGTAACGTTAAATGACGCTTATTGTCCAGCCATTTCATTAACTCTGTATATTCCTGCTGTTCTTCCTCTTGCCAATATCCGCCGACCATTTTCACCGGACCGAAGTTACTGTCGGTGCTAATTTGTCGGATATACACATTCTAGAGACCTATATGCTTGAGTATAATGACATTTTATGTTAATGCGAAATCTATATGTGCATAATATATAGCGCAAACGAAAACGTATATGGGCCTTGCCATTATTGTACCGGGCATGATGAAGTATTAATTATTATCACCGCTTGTTGATGATAATGGGTTAAAAGTTTATAATTGTGGTGTATAAGATTAATATCGTAGCACAATTGTGTTGCAGCTTTGGATGTATCAGAGTTTTATTTTCGCAAGTGTGCTGCATATTCTTGGATTGTAAATAATATTTATTTTGGAAACGGCTTGTAGTGTTTGCAGCAGTACTAAATGAATAAAGGATATACTGACTCAGTGCGTGTCTCCATGTGGTTAATGTTAAACTAGCTACTGTAGCCTTGGCGAATTTTGTAGGCTATTTATAGGCACAACTATTTCGGAACTTGGCGTGATCGGTTTGAACACTTTGTTTACATTCTTCTCGTTTCGATCAGATGAGAGAGCAAAGAATAACAAACATTGAAATCTGTGAAGCTGATTACTTTACAAGTATAGCAATAGATCAGCTAGTTGGTATAAATTTAGCATATTCCGCATATATATATGTATATATATATATATATAATTATATATATATAGTATATATATATATACTTACATGCATACATACATACATACATAGAGGGCCGTGTATAGAGAGCAGAGAGGGGAGATAGATAGATAGAGAGAGAGAGAAAAAAAGAAAGAGAGAGAGAGAGAGAGAGAGAAAGAAAGAAAGAAAGAGAGAAAACGATAGAAAGATACAGGCGGGCAGAGTAGGGGATAGCGACAGATATACAGATAGTGGTGAGGATATAAGAACACGTATCTCGTTACATAATCGAGGTATATCTATACACTCGTGATAAAACAGCTATGATAATTATAAACACGCCAACACAATTAATAATTTTGTGTCATTTACAAATATGTTATAGAACCTATTCCATAGTTTATTCGTCGTTATTACGTTTCATTCATCTCAATGATTAGTGTTCTTTAACTTGAGGCAAAGGCTCTACACACAGGAGCTATCCAAAGGTAGTGTTTAGATGAGGACATGCGATACGAGGACGACCAAGCATGATATACATACAGAAAGTCAATACTACCCCTTTGGCGATAGGTTGAAATATTGTCACGAATAAACCCCATGCAGATTCACTTTATTCGAGCGAACGCATGTTTACCTCTTCATTCATGCTGGTGGTTAGCCCATCTTTTTAAATAAATAAATAAATAATTCATTAATTAAATAATAATAAAATCTAGCACAGCGGAAGAGGCCGCAGAAATAGTGGCATACAATTCTCAAGCAGAGTGTGCCTATGCGTTTGCGTGTGCGTGCGCCTGTGCGTGTATGCGTGTGTACGTGTGCGTGATCGCATACGTGTGTGCTTATGTACTTATGTACTTATGTACTTTCCGCATCTGCAACTGCCCGCGTGTGTGCGCGCGTGCATGTGTGCGTGAGTCTGCGCGTGGGCATGGACGTGCGCGCAAGTGTCACTGTGTGTGCGTGGAGTGATATATTCATGGGCGCGTGAAGAAGTTAGCTCTCTCTGACGAAAGAACTCTGTCTTTACAATAATGAATCCATCGGCGGCTCATACTTGATCACGGGCTATCATATTTAAGTGCATCGCACATTATCGCTTACTACGAGCTGCTACATGAGCACCTCGCGCCACCTCTAGGCACAAGTGAGAATTTTTGCAGTTTCAGATATATTTCACGTCTTTGTAGGTGGCGCCACATTCTATTATTTAAAAGTTCATACTTTTTGAGATGCTACAAGGGCACATTTATAGTCATAATTTATTATCAGATGGAATATCGAAAATCTGAACATTGTTGACGGATTGTGATGTCAAGCAAATAAGACGACATCAAGCAAGAGCAGTAAAAATGATGATTTTACACATATGTGCACATTCTTACAGTGCTTAGTATGCAAGATCGTATAGCCTGCACAAACGGACATTAGAATGCGGAGAGAATGCATGCATCTGCTATATATTGCCGCAAGCTGAGTATGGGCGCAACACAAAATAGAATTACCCTAATATGATCTGCTGGCCGATACATATCAAATAGGTTATGTTTTTTTAATTGTTTTTAATTACACCACTATTAAACTCTCCTTGCTCGTATAATAACAGCACAATATTCGATAAATTTACATTCAAAGTCACCTTCACTGCAATGCAGGTTTTGCTATCGTGTGACAACGACTTGCCGCATGATATCTTTTTTTGCATTATAGCTCGGAACTGCTCTACCATATAAAAAAAATCTTTAAATTATGACGTCGATACGACACGTAATATAACAGATCTGATCTTCAACAAATAGTTAGACTTTACTGCAAGATGTTTCACAATGCTACCACGCGAGACACAGTGTAGTATATGTCACGGAAAACGTATTGCCGACTATAAATCGGTCAGCTATTAAAAACTCACGTGAGCTATTTATAGAGAGGAAACGTAAACTAGTATATATTTTTAAAGAAAATAAATTAACCCGCGAATTCCGCAAGACGCCTGTGACACAGCGCAGGCGAGACATGGCAATAAATATACGCGCTTTTTCTCGCTAGCCGCCGTGTCATCTCATCATTAGTGTGAGTATCTGTTACGGATAAAAATAAACTCATTGAAAGCACATTCCGGTGGAAGCAAGCGGCCAGCGGTAAATGTGTAATGTCACCGACACATCCTCTCTACACGCGAATCTTTATGTCGAGTCTGGCAACTCAACTTCGAGTTCAATCAGAGCCATTTTCAAATAAAACCTGAACTATTTATTGCTACATCACACGGGGTACACACGAATGAGTCAGCGTACTCGAAATAGCATATGCGCGAGACAGCTGCTGATGTGTTTTCACTAAGTCGGCCCATATGTAACGTATTATAATATTTGCCGAAAGGTAATCGCATTTCCTTAAAATGGAAGCCAGCATGTGCCTGTTAGAATGGTTTATGGCAGGTTCCAGCATGGTCTTGCAGCGACTCTGGTAAACAGGCGTTTAGTTGTAGCAGCTTTTAGTCGTTTATATGCCCTCAAATATGAATCTTTGTTTAGAGAGAAAGCACTACATGCGATAAAGTCAATAGGAATCTGTAACAAACTTTATATATTAGTACTGTACATTTATTTTCATTGTTTGACAAAAGCTCTTAATAATATGCCTGTACAAAGTAGTTCTAGTAATGTAGTAGTTGATAATTTTTCCGTTGCTAGAACCAAGTACTCTCCATCCGCGTAGATCAATCTAAGGATAGTAATTTGATTAAATACAATACACAGTGAGTAAATAACATAATTACGCATATAATAAGATATTATACCTAAGATTTTATCTTTCCCCCAGGTCGCAACCTGACGCCGCGGGACCAGTGGTTTACCAGTAGGCAGATAATCAATACAACCAAGGGAACCACTAGTGCACAATAACACATGCGTGCGTGCGTGCGTGTGTGCGTACGAGTGTGTATGAGTGTAAGCGTATAATTATGAATATATGTGTGCAATACATATTATATAACGGGTGATGAGCTTGCTTTGAATGTTTACATGCAGAGTTTGTATGAAAATCGTGAAGAAAGTAAGTTTATGGGTGAGTTTTATATAACTACTACCAACGCCAACAAAATTGAAGCGCCATAAACGAACATTTTTATACGCAGTAATGCACATGATACACGTAATAAATATGTGGGCGTTTTACCATCTCACAAGACCACCTTAACGATTACCCTTTTTTATTATTACATATCTGACGTAAGTAGAGCGGTTTTGATATAAGTGAAGTTGAAGTTTTGATATAAGAGCGAGTTTAAAAATGAAAAAAAGTCAAGCTTACTCTTAACAACTGCTCACAATACCCACGTCTTATTAGTTAGAGGTAGTTTACGTAAATCAACGGTCTACGGCCGTTTGCCGATTTTAAAAGTCGCAGAGAGAGAACAAATATATTTCACATATAGTTTAGAAATGTCAGCCTAAATAAGTGAAAAGAGGAAATATACTGCATCAGCCATCGTAATAGTATTGAGTATAGCGCGTTATTATAGATTATATATTATCGTAATGAATGTAGTGGAGTGAGTATACCTCCGTCTATATCAATTATATAATCAACGTATAGTTTAACACACAGACTATGACCATATAAAGACCATAAATGCTGTCGGCTTATTCGCTCTGTGTGCTAAAGTCAATTAACAGCGCAGCGTAGTTACATTCACCTATGCGTACATATCCACGCAGCATATATATATATATATATATATATATATATATATATATATATATATATATATATACTGGCTAGGATAGATTAAATACACATTAATCTTCAAAATTCGGTTGCCTATAGCGTAGCTCTTATAACTCATATAGCCCTGATATATTAAATTTTATCCACGTGGCTCTTTCAATATATAGATACACGATTAGCAGCAATTATTGTGGATGCACACATAACACGTTTACGAAAATATTTATAGATAAATGACCAATAACTATGTAAATTACGATACATACACTGACAGGCGAGAAACCCGCTTTCTTTTCTATTAAAACCTGCATGAATAATTAATAATTATGAGACGTAGCGGGTGACCAAGAAATTATGTCTATGAATGTAAAAAGACACGTTGCGTAGGGGCTGCACGTGATATTGTATGGGCTGTCGAGATGCGCGTGTTAGCTGTTACAACGCAAATAACACTTAGTGTAAAGTCTCGTTAGTTGGTGAGATAGGGGTCATAATAACCCCCGAGTGCGTGGTTGGCGTTACGCAAATCTGTACAATCCCCGCGCAAAAGACGTTAATCATAACCCATATCTTAGACGTTTAGAAATTTCCGCACGATTCTGTAGCAGCAACATATCATCGCTACACCTACTCAACTGCCCGCGGACCGACACGACAAGCCTGCTACCAACACAGGCACTTGAAACGTCTCAATAAAAAAGGTAAATAAACACGAAATGTATTTACTACCAAAGTCTTAATGTTTCTCTACGCTATTTCGCCTATTATTGTCGATAACTTGCTGTAAATGCCGTTTAAATGCTCATCTGCAACACACAAGTACACCGCACGCACCCCTGTGCACAAACAACAAGAATAATAGACTATTACTCTATTATTCTTGTTGTTTGTGCACAGGGCGTGCGAGCGGTGTACTTGTGAGTTGTGTGTTGCAGATGAGGATTTAAACGGCATTGACAGCAAGTTATCGACAATAATAGGCGAAATAGAGTAGAGAAACATTAAGACTTTTGTACTAAATACATTT